TGCAGGTCTTCACCGCACACTTTGTCACCAGCAAGTGGTGCCCCAGAACAGAGGAAAGCATATTCGGAGTAGTCCAGAGGGAAGGAGAATCCATCAGGGGCTACATCAAGCGGTTCAATGAAGAATGCTTACAGATACCGCGGTTAGACCCTACAGTGCAGCTCGCGGCGGCCAAGAGAGGAGTAACGCACAAAGAGTTCAAATGGCACACGGTAGCTAACCAGCCTGCAACCGTGGCCGAATTCCTCAAGCTCGCGGATAAGTTCATGAGAACATAGGAAGAAATCAACCAACAAATCGAAAGCGGGAACGAGAAAAGAAAGAGGGAAGGCGAGCCCTCCAACCCAGTTGACAAAAAAAACCCGGCCCGGGAGCCAAAGGCGAATCAGTCGTTCCGAGCTCCCCTAGCAATTCGGACGGATTACACGCCGTTAAACACGAGGCGGATCGAGATCTTAATGACGATCAAGGACGCCCCATACGTAAAGTGGCCACCTCGCCTAAAGGGAAATCCGAACGAGAGAAATAAGAATTTGTACTGTAGTTTCCATAGAGACCACGGTCATAGTACCGAACAGTGTAATAATCTTTGGGACGAGATAGAGGGACTCATCCGTCGCGGATACTTAAGGAATTTTGTACAGCATGACAATAATAACAATAAGGCAGGTCGGCAAGGGGAGCACGGAAAGGATGCCCCCGAATCTAGCAGCAGACCAGCCGAACCGTTGTTGCGACAACCTCCGGAAGAGAGGCCAGTTCGGGGAACCATCCATGTAATTGTGGGAGGTTCGGTGGTAGTAGGGTGTACCTCGGTAGCGGCCTGGACGTCAGTTCGCAAAGCGACCCTCGAGGAACAGAACCCCCCAAAAAGACCAAAGACTGAAGAACCGATCTTCTTCACGGAAGACGATGCGCGAGGGGTCCACTACCCCCACGATGACGCGCTTGTCATTAAACTAAGGATCACCGACTTCGAGGTCAGACGCGTACTCGTAGATTCGGGTAGCTCGGCGGACATCCTCTTCAAGTCAGCACTTGACCAACTACAGTTACAGAGGAGCGAGCTGAAGCCCGTGAACACTCCTCTGGTGGGTTTCAGCGGAGAGGAAGTTAGGCCACTCGGAAAAATAACAGTACCTGTGGAAGTCGGCACATGACCTTGTGCGGTCAAACTCAACCATGATTTCCTGGTGGTCGCGACCCCCTCCCCATACAATGCCATAATAGGGCGACCAATCACGCATATCCTGCGGGCAGTGGTCTCCACATACTATTTGGCAATGAATTTCCCTACAGACTTCAGTGTGGGGGTAGCGCGGGGCGACCAGCTCGAGTCTCGCAAGTGTTATGTTGCCGCCCTGAAGGGAAAAACCAAGGTGGCCGACGACCTTGAACTGGAGCGGCCTACGGAGCAAGGCGAGGAACGAGCTTCGCCCACAGAGGAAACGGTCGCAGTCCCGACTTCGGCTACAGA